GGTATCCTATAGGATTCCTGTAAGATTCCCATAGGATTCCCATCGGATTCCCATCGGATTCCTTGGGATGCCTTAGGAATCCCTTAGGGATCCCATCGGACTCCTTGGGAATCCCATAGGATTCCCCAGGAGTTCTATAGGCTTCCTTAGGGATTCAAGAGGATTCCACAGGGAGTCTGCGTCCCGGAGGTCGGCTCGGCGGCGTGCGCATGGTTTCAGTTCGTGGGAGTGCATGGGCTGCCTTAAGGATCCCAAATGCGAAGCTTGAGGTCCGCTTGCTGGTTGCTGGTTGCTGGTTGCTGGTTGCTGGGGGGGGGGGGTGCTGACCACAGGGAGTTAGGTCAAGGGATGTCCTTAAGGACAAGCATTGACCCAGCTGCCCGGTGAACGGGGGGTTAGGTGCAGTGTTGACCTTGCTGTTATTGTTGTTGTTGTTGTTGTTGTTGTTGTTGTTGTTGTTGTTGTTGTTGTTGAACATTATTTCTTCTTAAGAATAATTATTGTTGGGACCCCTGGTGCACGACCCCCCCGCCGCGCCTAGGCCGCAGCCACATTTTCATCATTTTCGTGAGGAAGTCTCAGGCAAAACGATTGGTACCGGATCCGGTTGTTTTGTTGTAATCCGTTTTCCCTTGCAAAAAACACTATAAAATGAAAATTCTTGTTCTTACTTGATCAAATTGCAAGAATCCCTTGCAAAAAATAAGGTAAAGTGGACATTCGTGCGCGCAAGACGAAATCCTTCCAAAACCTTAGGTTTCGTAACGATTTTAACATAAAAACATCAAAAACCCAATGGTTTTTTAAGAAAAAATTGTCAAAATGTCCTTCCGCGCGCGCTGTCCGAATCCCACAAAACCAATGGTTTTTCAACATTTATGTTACATGAGCTCGCGCGAGCTACTTTTTCTTGTTCTAACATAATCAAATTTCAATAATCCCTTGCAAAAAATAAGGTAAAGTGGACATTCGCGCGCGCAAGACGAAATCCTTCCAGAACCTTAGGTTTCGTAACGATTTCAACATAAAAACATCAAAAAGCCAATGGTTTTTCAAAAAAAAATGTCCAAATTTCATCCCGCGCGCGCTGTCCGACTCCCACAAAACCAATGGTTTTTCAACATTTATGTTACATAAGCTCGCGCGAGCTACTTTTTCTTGTTCTTACATAATCAAATTTCAACATCCCTTGCAAAAAAAAGTAAAGTGGACATTCGCGCGCGCAAGACCAACAAAAAACACGACGATCTCAGGAACTTGCCCCAAAAATGTGACCAACTCCGCTCTCTCTGTCTCTCTCTCTGTCTGCTCTCTGTCTCTCTCTCTGTCTGTCTGTGTCATGTATTGTATGTCACAATTGCAGGATGCTGGGCACACGCGCGCCCCGAATAAGTGACCAAGTTCTGTGGGTGTGTACCCCACGCCAGTGTAGTAGCCACGGTCGTCCGCACGCCACGAAGTGAAGTGTCCCAACGTCATAGGGCGGGAAGCTGGGTTTGGGTGGTCGCGAAGAGTCGTTTGGATATTTGGTAGAGCTTGAACTGCCCCCCCACGAAGTGGGGGTATTGTCTCGCGTCGCATGAAAACCCTGGCACTGGTGAGAACACTGAGCGTTCGGGTAAAATGATTGTTGTTGTTGTTGTTGTTGTTGTTGTTGTTGTTGTTGAACATTATTACTTCTAAAGAATAATTATTGTTGGGACCCCTGGTGCACGACCCCCCCGCCGCGCCTAGGCCGCAGCCTCATTTTCATCATTTTCGTGAGGAAGTCTCAGGCAAAACGGGGGAGTCCGGATCCGGTTGTGTTGTTACGATCGGTTTTCCCTTGCAAAAAATAAGCTAAAGTGGACATTTCTTGTTCTAACATAACCAAACTTCAAGAATCCCTTGCAAAAAATAAGGTAAAGTGGACATTCGCGCGCGCAAGACGAAATCCTTCCAAAACCTTAGTTTTCGTAGCGATTTTAACATAAAAACATCAAAAAACCAATGGTTTTTCAAACAAAAAATGTCAAAATTTCATCCCGCGCGCTCTTGCGGATTCGTAGGAAACCCAACACTTTTTAATCATTTCTGTCAAACGGGCTTTTGCGAGCAACTTTTTCGAACTTCTGCAACAACGGTTGCGCACCTGCCAGGGCCATCATCCCTGTCAAATAATACCATGCGGGACACATTCGTTTTTTCTTCGCGCGCGCACGCCGTCGTCGTCGGCCGCGGGGCCCTGAATAGTAGCCACGGTCGTCCGCATGCCACGAAGTGAAGTGTCCGAACGTCATAGGGCGGGAAGCTGGGTGTGGGTGGTGGCGAAGAGTCGTTTGGAAATTTGGTAGAGCTTGAACCGGCCCCCCCACAAAGTGGGGGTATTGCCCGCCTCCTATGAAAACCCTGGCACTGGTGAGAACGGTGTGTCCCCACGTGCTAGTAATTGTTGTTGTTGTTGTTGTTGTTGTTGTTGTTGTTGTTGTTGTTGTTGTTGTTGTTGAACATTATTTCTTCTTAAGAATAATTATTGTTGGGACCCCTGGTGCACGACCCCCCCGCCGCGCCTAGGCCGCAGCCACATTTTCATCGTTTTTTCGTGAAAGTCTCAGGCAAAACGATTGGTACCGGATCCGGTTGTTTTGTTGTAATCCGTTTTCCCTTGCAAAAAACACTATAAAATGAAAATTCTTGTTCTTACTTGATCAAATTGCAAGAATCCCTTGCAAAAAATAAGGTAAAGTGGACATTCGTGCGCGCAAGACGAAATCCTTCCAAAACCTTAGGTTTCGTAACCATTTTAACATAAAAACATCAAAAACCCAATGGTTTTTTTAAGAAAAAATTGTCAAAATGTCCTTCCGCGCGCGCTGTCCGAATCCTACAAAACCAATGGTTTTTCAACATTTATGTTACATGAGCTCGCGCGAGCTACTTTTTCTTGTTCTAACATAATCAAATTTCAATAATCCCTTGCAAAAAATAAGGTAAAGTGGACATTCGCGCGCGCAAGACGAAATCCTTCCAGAACCTTAGGTTTCGTAACGATTTCAACATAAAAACATCAAAAAGCCAATGGTTTTTCAAAAAAAAATGTCCAAATTTCATCCCGCGCGCGCTGTCCGACTCCCACAAAACCAATGGTTTTTCAACATTTATGTTACATAAGCTCGCGCGAGCTACTTTTTCTTGTTCTTACATAATCAAATTTCAACATCCCTTGCAAAAAAAAGTAAAGTGGACATTCGCGCGCGCAAGACCAACAAAAAACACGACGATCTCAGGAACTTGCCCCAAAAATGTGACCAACTCCGCTCTCTCTGTCTCTCTCTCTGTCTGCTCTCTGTCTCTCTCTCTGTCTGTCTGTGTCATGTATTGTATGTCACAATTGCAGGATGCTGGGCACACGCGCGCCCCGAATAAGTGACCAAGTTCTGTGGGTGTGTACCCCACGCCAGTGTAGTAGCCACGGTCGTCCGCACGCCACGAAGTGAAGTGTCCCAACGTCATAGGGCGGGAAGCTGGGTTTGGGTGGTCGCGAAGAGTCGTTTGGATATTTGGTAGAGCTTGAACTGCCCCCCCACGAAGTGGGGGTATTGTCTCGCGTCGCATGAAAACCCTGGCACTGGTGAGAACACTGAGCGTTCGGGTAAAATGATTGTTGTTGTTGTTGTTGTTGTTGTTGTTGTTGTTCCTGGCTGCCATCAGTCACGTGGGCTGCCTTGGGGCCCTGGGGCCATCAAAACGGGCCGCGGCGAAGAATTGATCCGAGGTGTGGGGTCGAGGGCTCCAGGGCCCTCGTCGCAAAGACGCGCACGACGTCGCAGGATCCGGGGTGGGCTGGTCCTGTGCAGGCCGCACCCCCGGACTGCCGGAGACGAGGCCCCGGCTGCCCCGAGCAGACGGCCCCCTGCACGAGGCCCAGGAGGGTCGCCCCCGGGCTGCAACAGGTCCCGGAAGTTGGGGGCACTTCCGTCAGCACCCGACGTTGAGGTAGGAGGAGGAGGATGAGGAGGAGGAGGAGGAGGAGGGGAAATCAAGGAGGAGGAGAAGGATGTATAAGGAAGTAGGATGCCTGTGCTAGGAGACTGACCTGAACTTGGGAGGAGCGATACAGAAGTACGAACCTGAACGTGGGTGCCGTTTGTGCTGCTGCTCTTCCTTTGCTCCCTCGCCTTGCGATTCTCCTCCTGAGAACGGGTGGGCCAAGGAGGGGTCGGTATCTCACGCCCTCGGCTTGGCAGCGTCGCCGGGTGGCCCGAGCGAGCGGCCTCCACGAGCGCACTTGGTGCGCCGATCCAGAGGGGAAGCAGATGACGGGTGGGCAGCGATCGGAAAGGGGGGCGGAAGGAATGGGAACGAAGGCCAGTGGCACTTCAGCGATCGGGTCGGCAGTTGGATTGCGCTGGTGGCACCATTCTTCACGTTATCGCAGTTGTGGGCGCGGCGCAGGAGAAAATGGGCCGACCGCAGTTCCTGTCCGCTTGGAACAGGATTCGGTGTCGGTGTTGCCGCGGACGTTGCCCTTTTTGGACTAGCGTCGCCTGCCCAACATCAGCGGCCGCTGTCGATTCTGGACATCGTTTGCTGTTTGGCGTCGTCACCATTTCTGCCCGTCACCATTTCGGGCGTGCGAAAGGGTTGGCGGTGCTCAGGAGGGGGCGGGGCCACGGGGAGGCCTTCTGAGACGGCGGTAAGGTCAGGTCAGAGAGCCCCCTACGCCTTGTGAGAGGCAGGGGGGCTTCTTAGAAGGGCGCTCCGCACTTGCTTTCCCCGTTCTGCGTGACGCCAAGTTCAGGGCAGGGGGCAGTGGGCGGAGGGTGAGTCGGCGGGGTGTCGGTCGAACGTCCATGCAAGAAGCGATCGAGCTGCTCACGGCTCGGGGGGCACACCACGCGTGAGAGATCTTGGTTCGCAGCCAGCTGGGACCCCTCAGCGCGGGGCCGCGGCGAGTGCCGCTGTCGCGCCCGCCCGCCGCTCTGGCTTCGGCGCCTCCTACCCCGCGGCGCCGCCGCGCAATGTCGAGGGAGGGGAAGTTGGCCGCTGCCCTCGCCTTCCACCTGGAGCACCTGGCGCAGCTGCTGCACAGGCAGGCGGGCGCGGGCGACTGCCGCGCGCTGGAGGCTTCGCTGCTGGCGGCTGGTGCGCTGCTGAGCCAGGGGCCCGGCGACGCGCAGACCGCCGAGCGCGAGGCCGAGACGGGGGAGCCCGGCCGCAGCTCCAGCGGCAGGGCCGCAGAGGACGTCGCGGGCGGCGCCTCGGACGGCCGTTTGCATGACGATCGCTGCGGCGGCCACGACGAGCCCGGGGAACCGCAGGGGCCTCCAGCCCCAGCGGCCACCAGGCCGCCTTCGGCCGCAGCAGCCGCGGGCGGCGGCCCGGACGGCCGCCCCTATGGTGATTGCTGCGACGGCGACGAGCTGGGGCCTCGCCGGGGGCCTCCAGCCCCAGCGGCCACCAGGCAGCCATCGGCCGCATCGGGCAGACGCGTGCAGAAGGCCAGCCTGCTGTCGCGGAGCTCGGAGGCGTCTGGCGACAGGAGCTGTCTGTGTTCAACAGCCCTGGCCAGGCCCATCCTGGGCCCAGTGTCGGTGTACATGCCTCTCTGACCAAGCCAGGCTGGCGTACACACCGGTCTTGCCCAGGTTCGGGCCTTGCCAGGGTCGGTGGATACGTACAGTTAGCGTCCTCCCAAGCCGGCGTCCAGGCCGCCCAGCGCCCTCGAGCAGAGGGAGCGGGCGAGGGGCCGCCAGGAGCCTCGGGAGCTGCGCCGCAGGGGCGCAGGCGGCGGCCCTGTGGAGGCCGAAACCGACGATGAGCTGGCCGAGCACGTGGCCGCAGGCCTCCGCCGCTTCTGCTGCTTCGTCGGCGAAGCTGGCTTGGAACTGTTCGGGGGCGGTGCCTTACTGGCGGATGCCTTCGCAATGCTCTTAGAGGAGGAGGGAGCGGGCCTGGGCCTGGGCATCGGGCACCGCCTCGGCGTGTACGGCTCGGAGCAGCACGTCGACGTCTGCAGGCCTGGCGCCCCAGAGGCTTTCTTCGGCATCGACTGCGCGTTCGCGGCGATGTTCGCCGCGGAGCTGGCGCTGACCTGCACGCACGGCGCCCGGAGCATGCGCCCTAGCCCGCGCCGCAGCCCCTGCAGGATGCTCTTGGCGCGGCCATGGGACTTCCTCGGCCTCCTCGCCGTGGCCTTCTCTCACTGCGCGCTCCTCGCCGGCGCCCGGGAGGGCCCGCGGTCGAGCGCCCGGCTCCTCCGCGCCCTCCGCCTGGCGTGGCTGCCGAGGCTGGCGGGGCTGTCGCGGAGGCTCGCCCATCTGGCCCTGCCCACCCTATCAAGCATCTGTGGGGTGGACATCTCCTCCTTCCCTCCCTGCCTCCCTCCCTCCTCCTTCGTTGCCCCCAGCCTGATGTGGTTGCGATCCTGCTGAATCTGGGTCTTGTCCGGGAGCGAATCCGGCAAACTGATCTGGCTCGACGTCCCCCGAGTCGGGCTCAGCGCAACAGCCCCCCGTCTTCCCCGCGGAGCTTCCCCGGTAGTTGCGCCCCGGCTCCTCCGAGCTGCTCAGCCAGCCGCTCCGGCCCCTCGAACCAACGTCTGCGCCACGGGGTCTTGATAGGCTGGGCGGGCACGGCTGTGCCCGCTGCGCCCGGTGGCCCCGGCGGCCAGCTCCGCGTGGGGCCTCGGGGCGCTGGCCGCTCTCCGGCGCCGTTCGCCGGGGGCGGCAGGCGCGGGCTCGGGGGAGGCAGGGTGGCCCCGGCTCCAGGGAGCCTTCTGCGCACAGGCGATGCCAGCCTGGCCCCCCCCCCCGAGTGTACGCAGATGGCCCAGGCGGGTCTTGTATGCCTCGGGGGCACAGCTTCCCTCGAAGCCAGGGCCTTTCCTCGCTGAGCAAATGGGGAGGAGGACGGCCCACGAGAAGCTCCACCGAGGCCGGGGAGCTTCACCAGAGCAAGGGGCCCTTCGTCGAATCATCTCGCCATCTTTCCGATCCTCTTAGCAAAGTTCTGGCAATGTTTTACTGTGCCGGCGGAGCTTCCCCGCTTCGGCGAAGCTTCTCTCCTGGGTTGTGTTCGTTCGGTACGCCTACCATCCCCCCTCCCCAAAGGCGCTGCGCACATTGGCGTCGAGCTAAAAGCGCGGCTTGAGAGAGGCGAGCTGGACCAGCCCTGGAATGAAGAGCTAGGCCTCTGCGCCACGCAGCTCGGGCGGGAGCGCTGGTATCGAAAAAGTGAGGTCGACCCCGCGAGTCACCACGCTGATCTTGCCGTCGCCTACGTGGCCGCGGATCCGTACGGTTGGCCTGGGCGCGGCGACGCCAACCGAGGGGACGCGGATGCAGAACGCTCGCTCGAAGAGCGCCGCATCCTGGGCTTGCATACGAGTCTGCTGCAGCGCGAGCGGTACGTGGGTGTCGGTTTCTGGAAGCTGGTGCTGAAGGCTGCTCGAAGTCTGTGGGGGGGAGAAGAGACATGGATAGATTTCGGAGAGCCCCTTTGAGGTTCGCCGCGCAATTTTTCATCGGTTTGGCGGAGGCCTGGGCACCGTCGTGGGCACGCCGTCGGGGAGGCACGGGAATCTCCAGAATCCCGGCCCCTACCCTGGATCGGATCCCCTCTCCCCAGACTTCGGATTGGAAGGGCCTGTGGGCGGACGAGCCTGGCGGATATCCGGGGCCCGCTTTCGAGACGAAGGCGGAGTTTGTTCGAGGCACCCGTCCGGGTAACTGGCCCTTGGGGCTGGAGGGCACCGAGGACATCCGGGTGTGCGATCTGGGAGGATCCCAGTTGGCTGCCCATCTGCGCGCTTTTATTTGGCGCGGCAACAGCGACGGCAGTTTCAAGGCATCGCTGATCATGATCTTCCTCGGGGTCGTTCCTTTCCTTCAGAGCTTCTTGGCAGAGCAGATTGTCGAGGGAGCAGGAGTATTCACATCCTCCGATGTACGGCTAGGAGCGTGGCTGCAGGCTAGACCCTGTTTGTTTGCGCTCGCACTCGGCACCGTGGAATTATTCTCCCATTACATGTCTTTTAAATTCTGGACAACAGTTCCTAAGTACGGCGTTCTTCGCCAGTTCCAGTCTTTCTTCGGGAGAAGGTGTCTCCATGTTCTCAGGACGCAGGCTGGTCCTCGACACAACGAGCCGACATGTGTTCACGAAGATCGCTTCAGGAAGTCGCCTGGGCTCTGCCAAGCAGTTGTTAACTACTGCTGCGAAGCTGTCGTGTTGAACCTTTGGGGGAAGTCGTTCGACCTCATGCGCGCGAAAGCATCGTTGATTGCTTCCCTGCTGTTGATAGTTTACGCCATGGTGTCTGACGAAGCAACAGGTGGCGACAGCGGATCCCACTGGTCAGCGTTTAGTGTTAACTTCTGTCGCTACGGTTGGTGCATTTTCTTATTCATGGCGCTGAACGCTGCGTTGTTAAGCGTCAATGTGTTCATCCGGACGCAGCAGTCCGTGGACGTTTGGGGCGTGGCAACCAAAGCTAAGATAAACATGCTCTCGTTGCAGCAGGAACTCATGTGCCGCATGATGTCCGAAGGGAGACACAGACGCGGACTCCCCCTGGACAGTACGGATCAACAACTTTTGGACGCAGCTTGCAGCGATTGGCACGACGCGTGCAGAATATATGGTAACCGAGACTTCCACACTTGGTTCTCTTCTTGGATCGTGACAGACGTGTTCAACAGCATGCTGAGCAGCTTCTCCTTCATGCTCTGCACTCTTGTATTGCTCTTCGAAATTTTCGACGGGCGCATGCGGGTTGGTACTTTTGTTATGGCGCTTGGGTCGGTGCGCTCCATTAGTGGTGCATTCGCCACCACGCTCAGTTACCATTTCAGTATGCCCGAGGGCTACGTTGCCCTACTTTACCTTGCGCAGATATGCAACATGAATGTTCCCGGGGATGACGAGGGCAACCACGAAAAAGAGCCCGGCGGTGATCGCTTGACCAGCACAAGCCTGCTCCAGTATAAGACACAAGACCGCGCCTCCTACCCCTGATGCTCTTCGTACTCCTTCATTGAGACATAGACTTTCCCAGTAGGACTCATATGATATTCGTCAGCATTGCTCTCTCAGACCGCACTTCGCCTGTAGCGCGGGGTTTGAAGCGTCTCAATCTCGTGGCAACGTCCCACAGGCCGAGGGCCACATGGTCATGGTTGCTTTCAGGCATATCGCTACAGTCGAGTGGTGCTGGTCGGCACAAAGTAATTTGTTCACGTCGTCCGCGCATTTTTGACAAAAGCAGTGCCCGAGGCCATTGGTTACTCCAAGGGCCGCAGCCCGGACCGTTTCATCAAGGGAGACGCCGTAGGGTGGCCCCGCGCTGGGGGATGCCCTTTGGATGCTTCGCATGCACGGCTGGCTCCGCTGCGTAAGAAAGAGGATGAGGATGAGGATGAGGATGATGATGATGATTATGATGATGATGAGGATGAGGATGATGATGATTATGCTGCTGCTGATGATGATCATGATGATGCTGATGATGATTATGCTGATGATGATGATGATGCTGATGATGATGATGATGATGATGATGATGATGATAAGGATGATAAGGATGATGATGATGATGATGATGATGATGATGATGATGATGATGATGATGCTGATGATGATGATGATGATGATGATGATGATGATGATGATGCTGACGCTGACGCTGATGCTGATGCTGATGATTATGCTGCTGCTGATGATGATGATGATGATGATGATGATGATGATGATGATGATGATGATGATGATGATGATGATGATGATGATGATGATGATGACGATGATGCTGCTGCTGCTGCTGCTGAGAGGAGAGGAGGGAGGAGGAGGAGGAGGAGGAGAGGAGAGGAGGGGGAGGGGGAGGGGGAGGGGGAGGGGGGAGGAGGAGGGGAGGAGGGGAGGAGAGGAGGAGGATGAGGAGGAAGAGGAGGAGGGGGAGGGGAGGGGGAGAAGGAGGAGGACGAGGAGGAGGAGGAAGAGGAGAGGAGGAGAAGGAGGAGCG